ATTTTATTATTTTAAATATATAATATTATAATTATAATAAGATAAATTAAGTATTTATATAATTACAATATAAATTTATATTATAATAGATAATAGATAATATACTATAATTAGAAATGATAATATACTCTATTATATATTATAATTATAATATGTTATATTATATTATAGTATTACATTTTTATAAGTATACTATATTTCTAATAACATAATATAGTATAGTTGTAACATTATAATACAAAATAATCACAATATCATTATTTTAATTATATATTATGATTGTATTATAATAATAAATATTATATAACTATAATTATAATTATATATTATATTCTTATAATTTTATATATATAATATTAGTTATTAAATGATTATATGCATGAGGGGTAATTTTGTCAACATGAAAATATTCATATCTCATTTCATTACATTTGTAAAAGTAGAACAAAATAAATAAATTATCATTACTTTCCATTCTATTCTATTATCATTCTCATTATCATTTTCCCACTGTAATCAAACGCACCATCAACTCTTACCTGAGAGACCCGAGTTCAAGTCCTGGCAATGGAATTCTTTTTTCAAAAAAAATTATTAAGTTCCCCATCTCCTTTTCATAAATTCTTGCTTCTCATATGATATAATTAACTAGGAAACAAAGATATTGAGCTGAAATTAATAACCTTTAATTTTGAACCTTTTGAAGAGCAAAGTGAACGAAAACATAGGTTGATTATAGATGCATACTCGGTGCATATACGTTGCAAGTTCCTTGGTAAGAAAGAGAAAAGAATATATGAGCTTAAACTGTATGCTTTTTCATATGTATATATATACATTTACGCATTAACAAGTTTCCTCGATTTCAATTACTTGTGCAACTCCGAAACATGACAAATTGATGTTAGGTTCCTGAATTATTCCACAATGCTGCTAGAGAAGGGTCAGAGGGTGTACATGTAAAAACTTTTGTTTCTGTTACTAATAATAATATAAGTACTTCGGACTAAGTATTCACAACTCTAGAGAGAGTATTTACATCACCATAATTAAGAAGAAACCAAATACATCCTCGACCATGGAATAATACAGAGAGACTACGTCTTCCAATACAGAAAACACAGGTTTTTTCAAAGCAGCTTTCTCTACCCCTTGCCATTGACAAATGCTAATGCGTGTTATGCAGACAAAACGACCAGGTTCGTGTGAATTCTACTAGAAGATTAGACAGACAGACGCACAATCACCAATTCTGACACTGCAATTCTAAGTTACCTTCGACGCCGTTTTGTATCCACCTGAAACACAATGCTTGATATTATTAGTAGCAAACTAGCATCAGATTCATTCTCCCAATAACGGTCATTGCTATTCTAAAGAATAACATTCTTGTCATGTACAAGAGATGTCCAGACCCACAGTTCAATATACAGTAGATATGAAAGTGATGTCAGATACTGAGTCCATATTGAACGTGACAGTGGAAAACATACTGTCAAAAATACTCCATGCTAGTTAATGGGATTATACCTTTGTATCCGAATGTCTGGAAGCATTATGTGAATTCTGCAACTTCTTCTGACCCTCGGAAGAACAGCCTTCACAGAAGAAGTGATCGAGTCGTTTTGCTTCCTCTGGTGTCATTTCTATACAAGCAGGATGAAACCTGAATCAAAAGAAGTATGCTAAAGATTGGATTGCAAATCTAGAACCCATTTTTTTACGTTCTCTACAAATTAGAAACACATGTAAAACCCCTTTTACAATAGCATTCAGCAACTAAAAATCCTAATTCTACGCAATAAGAAAAACAAGAAACGAACATAAGTGTTTGCCATCTATGTTCCATATCTATTTTAACCACCAATGCACTTTTTAAACTCTTTAGAGATAAAACTAATCTCAACTATTGAAATTCAATGTTGGAAAGCTTGCTTTAAGTAAAAACTAAGCAACACACATCTATTGCTCTAGCAACAGGACAAAATGATAAGTATCGAGTAAGCATCCATGCTAAATCTGCACTATGCAGAGTAAACCAAAGAAATCAAATCCACATGCTACAATAATTAAACGGTAAATAAAACATTTCTACGTAGCAACACATGTCCAAACCCTTGCCTCCAAGGCCGCTCCTACCATGTCTCGCCACTGGAAATGTTTTTACAAGGACAATTTACTAACATATACTGGATGAATCTTCC